AAAAAAAAAAAACTCTCTCCCCTTTCCGTTTTTTTTGTTAAAAAACTGCAGTAATATACCCTTTTTTTTCACAAACACTTATAGTTTTTTCTAAGGAGCGAGAACCACTTGGTGGCCTCTACGGAAAGGTCTCCTTTTATTACCATTGACCTGTGAGAGATATGGATACAGAAGATATACCTGTTTCACTTCAGTCTGTTCATAACGACCAGACTATTTTACCTTTACCTTTACCTTTTTCCTCAAATACGTTTAATAATATGTCCAACGCTCATGAAAATACTTTCCTTGTCTCTGTGAAAAAATTTCACGTGATGACAAAATGCCGAACCGGTTATAACAAGATTTACGAATTTAGACGCTCAAAAAGTTTCTTTTTTGAGCTTGCTGATCCTTTCTCGGACACCAATAATCTTCATTTATTTTTACACACCAATGATTATCACATGGATTCTACGCCTATTCGATACACATCCACGAGCTATTTGCCTAACACAAGATATCAAATTAGTAAAATGCTCACACACTTTTTTACCTTACAAAAAGTTTTACCCTGACGTATTCAACAAAAGTATTTTGACTTGATTCGCCGGAAATTACTGGAACGAATTGACTTTATCAAGTCACGTGCTTCTAAAAGAACTTTGAAGAACACCATTACAAAAACTTTCTTCTCATTTTCTTATAAGCGCTACCGCTTCTACTTTGGTATTTACATTCCTTGTGAACATGCTTACACACCTGGTTCATTTAATCTTTCCACCCGGTGTCACAGCCCGAGTCCTTTCGTCATGTCTTTAAATAGACGTGCTTGTGGTACTCATCAATTTGAATTTTCGAGAAAAGAAATCAATCACCATTTGAAACCTGTGCCTGATTCGGACCCAGGATTTATAAATTCAAAATCTTCACACGCAAATCATGTATACGATCTTTGGCAACATCGATGGAAAAATGATATTTCTTCCAATCGTCTTGGTATTCGATACAATGTACGCTTTGCAGCCAACAGTAGTAATTTCATACGCAAACACCCAGGCGCCTACATTTATAGGAAACACCTTTTGGATTTCAAATTTAACCTCAGCAGTAACCCCGCAACAAAACGTAAACAGGAAACCCGCTTCAAGAGACATTGTACGCGGATGTTCAAAAATATTAACCCTATATCCCGCACTATGAAAGAGGATAAAATTGCAGCAGGGAGACGTTTTCGCTTCCTGTTTCATGAAGCTCAACACATTTATTCACCTATTCACCATCTGAAATTCAAGCGTTTTTCAACGGAGAAATTATTACCTGATCCCGATGACTATACATTTAAGATACCTCACCACATGCTGGAGAATTCCAGTATTACGCCTATAGCTCGATCACAACCTTCGACCTCATATAGGCCTTCTGGTGCCAACACGATCCCCATTATTTGAACGCTGAAGAAACCGCGGCTCTCGGTGGTCTTTTAGAACCACTTAAACGCACTCCTATTTACTACGGTTATAATCCCGTAGACCCGTCAAAAGTGGACAGTAGTTATTTTTTACAATACAACCCTGATCAACCCAATTTACCCCAACTATTAATATACATCAATCTAACGCTCTAGATTACGATTCATCCGCCGCTAACGCTATGGGTACTACTCTCAAACATTATTATCGTCGAGCAATGTCAACTCGACAAATCACGGTCTGGACTAAAGAATACCACAAGTATATAAAACAACCTCCACCACCTCCAAAACCTTCCAAAAAAAAACAACATCACAAGTGGAAGAAATGGATGGAAAAGCATCAAGATTATGATGACTTTATGAGTAAACCGTACGCTCCAAGGCCTTATTGCCCGCCTGATTACCATACAGACCTCTTTGGTTCTCCTTCATACACATCAGATGAAACTAAAACAGTGGAATACCGACCTCACAAGAGGGATACGTTGACTAATCCTTCCGCTTCGTTACAATCACACGACAGTAAAAGACCAAGACCAGCGAATAGTTACCTATCCGACTCCCTATTTACTAGTCTTAATTCTAATTAAATTAGTTTCTTTTTCTATATATGTATATTTTTCATGTAATGAGTCTTTTAACATTTTTTCCTACTTTATACTTTACATTTCACATTTTGGCGTCTAACTTACCCCACGTCATCATGTATGTCTGTAAACATATTAAACAATTTAGAATAGTGTGAACCACTCCACTTATGACAGTATTGACAAGTGGCAGCCTTAGGGCTGAAAGCAAAATACGGGTTTTATTAATTTTTCTTGTTTATTTTTCTTGGGATTTTGGTAAGATTGTTTTTCGTTTGATAGTACCCTCTAGACTCCCGGTTATGCCTGATTGTTCTATAGAATAGTGGGCAAGACGACCCCTTCGGGCTTCTCCCGAGAGGTTGGGTTTAACATTAGCTTAGAATTTATTGTTCTTTTAGATCATGTTTATTCCTATTTAGCGTTCGACCCCAGTTGAGTCCGTATCTTAAAAATAAAAATAAAATAAAAAAAAATTGATCCATTTTATCGAATATCGAGCTTTTACTAGTAAACTCCGGTATATCGAAACTATTTAATATACGTGATTCGGTTCCAGCAAAAAAATCTGGTTTAGGCCCAAATCCGGTTTATCGAAGATCCAGTTTATCGAATTTCACTGTGTACAATTCTTCATCATTTGACCAGTGATTTTGTTAATACTTTTACAGTAGTTAGCGTTAGTCTTCAATAAATCTGAGAATTAAAATCTCTAAATACCAATAATTTATTCATATATTGCCAATTTAAAGTCATTTGTTAAACATTTACAAATTAAATAATTTTAATTTTCGATATGATTTGTTCATAAAATATAACTGAGTATTTGTCAACTTATTTCAGCTTTTAGATGCTATACATATTAAAAGAGTCAGACTGACAAAAGTCAAGTCATTTGCTAAGCATTTACAAATGGCAAAATTATTCATCAGTTTCTGTCATCTTGTTAATATTATATAAAATATAACTTAATGTTTGTCAACATATTTCATCTTTTAAATGCTATACATGTTAAAAGAGTCAGACTGACAAAGTCAAGTCATTTGCTAAGTATATATAAATTAAAATCCAATCTAAGCCATGATTTTTTAACAGTATTATTGATATGATTTTATTCAAATATTATTCATACAATTATTACCATATTTGGCAAAATAGAATCTTGTCAATATGACAATGAATAGATTTAGTTATATATATAAATGTAGATGTTTCATATGATAATTTTTTTCAATTTTATATTTCAATGTGTCAGCTTGAGTCAAACTATTTACGAAAGATTTTTTTTTATTTAATACCCTTGTTTGTTTGATTTTATATAAAAGATTTAATTCTATAAATTTAATTCTATCATTTAATTTTCTATCATTAAATAATTTTTATCATTTAATAATAATTTTAATAATTTTATCACTTAATAATTTTTATCATTTAATATTTAAAGTTGAAAATATGAATACATCTGAGAGCTATTCCAATATTAAGAATAAAAGCACATCTGAGAGCTATCCTGGTCAAAATGGTAAGTTTTTGGAAACTTATTTTAATTTGTATTATTAATATCTAATTAATTAACTTGCACCTTTCTAGTTCTTATCTCTTATATAACAAAAAATATGAAAATATCATATTGTAGATTCTTGAAAAGTTATCATGATATTATTGGTACATCAGTTTTTTCAGACAACTGGGATGAACTTGACCATTTTTGGGCTGCTCACTTTTTGCATGAAGGAAAAGATGTCCCTGGTTTAAAAAATAAGGTGTGTAAATTTTTATTTTGCAAAGTAAGGATAACCCCTAAATTGATAATTGCTTCGAGATAGGGGAATTACTGGATTTGACAACCTTGGTAACCACTCCAAGCTCTCAGTTCAGGTGTCCTCACTTTGTAGTTGATAAAAGTCTGCTAATTCTGGAGGAGGAATTGGCTATGTACCTTCTTTTATTACTAAATAAAATTTTTGCATACAATAACTAATAATCTCTTTCTTGTAACAGGTAAATTCAGAACGTTTACGTTATGCAAAAACATTACAAATGTATTGGAAAGGAATTATTAATGAATATAAAAAAGAAAAAGAAAATCTGGTACCTACTGCTAAGAAGATAATTGAAATTCCTCATCTCATTCCTGTTGATAATTATTCTATTTCTGCTGCTAATGATCATTCTATTCCTACCAATAAAGATAATATTGAAGACAAAAATCATTCTATTCCTATTAAAGGCTATTCTATTTCTACTAAAAACCATTCCAAAATTTCTTATAAAAACACTAAGCTTAATAACTTTTGTTATGATATTCTTCAAAAACTTGATGAACAGTCTAACATTCATCCATTCTATAAATATGATGAAAAGGAAGTGTTTATAAAAAATCAAATGGATTTATTTACAATAAATTCAACATTAGAAAATGGTCAATATACAAGTACAAAAGAATTTGAAAATGATATTCGTCTTATATTTCGCAATTGTTATACATATAATGATATTGGAAGTGAAATATATTGTTTAGGAGAAGAATTGGAATCAGCTTTTAATAAAATATGGACTGAAAAAATAATTTTTCAAGTTAAACAAAAGGAAAATTTAAAAAGAATACAAGATACTAGTGATGCTGATTTATCTTCTGGTAAGTTATTTTCATTACTTTATTGAAATTCTTCAAATATTGGATAAAGAATATCTCTATATAATATTGACATTTTTAATTATGACAATTTATTAGAACTTGTAACAAAACAAATTCGAGTTTTAGAACAAAATAAAGACAAATTAGTATATAGACAAGTTGTAAATGATGCCCTTCTTATAGCTTCAGCATATGAAAATCTTGTTGCAGGTAATGTTATACCCTTTATAGAAATTTTAAAAACATTTCTGTCAACAAGATCAAAGATGTCATTATTTTCTGCAGATGAGCCTGTTCTTCAGGCAATTGTTGAAAGCCTTTTACCATTGAAATATCGTATTCCTGAACTTTCATTAGTAATGGCTGGTACAAAATTAAAAGGTTTTGGCCGTTTTGGATATTCTGATATTTTTGTTTTAAAAGGAATAGGATATAATAATGTATGTTTGTAATTAAAATACATTTCATTGGTTAATTTAATTAAATTAATTAAAAATTATAAAAATAAATTTAATGCAAATGATCTGGAAAATCTAGATAAAATTATTGAAAAAGAAAATGAAATGGTTTTGTTAAAAAGATCATATTCATATTGGTCAAAAGAATATGGAGAAACCAAACAAACAACTATAGGAGAAGTATTAGACAATGGGGTTAATCAATTGAAATCATATATGAATGTCATTTCAAATGGAAAAACAATTAATTATTCTAGTTCAGGAATATTTGATGAACAAATCAAAATAACTAAATCAAATCCAAATAAATTAAAAGGATTTGTTATCTTGGTAGTTGGCTTTCATCGTGTTTTATGGAGATCTGTAGAAGAAATAATATCTGATTATTCATATGATAAGGTTTAAAATATTTTTTCCTAGTATACTTATATCATAAAATTTTTATAAACTAATTTTTACATGCAATTTTAGAATTTTAATTAGTCCAAAAATTAATTAAATAGGATATCTTAATAACTAGTAATTCAAATTGGGCAAAATAGGTATTTTAATTATATTAAATAAGCAATTAAAATTCAGCATTATATTAATACAAAATTCAGATTGCACTAAATATACATATAATGGATATATATTGAATTTACTTAATGAAATTTTTGTGACTAGATTTTATAAGACCATGCAAACTTAATTTTTTGGTTCTCATAACTGGTTTACCACAAATTTCTGGTAACTATAATATTGACACAATTTGAAATACAAAAAATTATATTTTAATACTTCAAGATTGTTATTGTGAATACTGTGGCAAAATTTATACGGATATAAGGAATGGTGTAACCGGAGAATTCGGGTTCCCTGAAATTTGTTTAATGCCAAATAAATAATTTAAAACAAAATTTTTCAAATTGGACTAGTGGAAATGAAAAGATTGATGAATTAATCCAAGAAATGCAATTAAAAATTAATAAACATAATGATGTGAAATAAACTCAAATCCCAGTTGAAACTGATTCTTCTGTATGTTATCATCATTATCTTAATAATAAAATTTTAAATCAATTTAGACTTGAGTATACCTTTGTCATACAAAGCATCATAATTATAAAGACCAATGTCAATTAGTGAGTTCAATTTTCAGCTTTACTGACTATTTATATTCAAAACTGGACTATACTCCCTTGTAGTTTTGCGATACTTTTTTCTCATATTGCTACAATACAGCTCTTTCATTGAATTTTTAGTTTGTGATAATTTTGCCTGTCCTTTACATCCTTTCAACGCACTGTTAAGAGAATCCCGCATCATAATACCAAGCTTCACCTTATCCAAGATATCTTTTTTTACGAGATGAAGAAAAACACCTAATGATGTCATACTACCAGATACTTCACCAAAAAGAGCTTCAAATTTATTTGGAGTATTTTTTTTTAGCGTTCCCTTCATATCAACTTTTCGTCCTAAATGTGTTCTTTAGAAGTACATATTATAACTTCGGTGTACAACTGTTTCACCAGAATAAACAAGGAAAACTTGAAATTTCAAGAATTTTTTATTCTATTCAGTATGTTAAAACTTACTATGTTAAAACTTTAATCATTGTCATTTGCATAGAAAATTCAATGACATGTGATACAGTGCCACATTTGTGCAGCATGGCTTATTTCATTTAACGAGTCTAGTAGCAGCCAAAAAAATTCCAATAAAAATTAGTTGAGAACTAAGATGAACTGAATAAGCTCCCTCCTGTAAAAGATTTCATCCACAATTTCTATATGATACATATTACATGGAATAAAAAAATACGGAATAAAGATTCATAGGGAGGATGATCCTTAAATCAAAAAATGATTTGAAAGAAAGAAAGATGTTCAATTTCATTCCCCTTAGCTGTGAAATGAGATATTTTATTGCAATTGCATATGATATACCACACGTATATGCTAAATCTCTCATTATATTAAATAACAAAACCAGTAATCAATGAGCTTAGTAACAAACTGAATCACATAATGATTGGTAAATGCACAGCCAAAAAATATTCACAACTTTTAAAATTGTATAATGTCTCTTTCTGAAAAACTAAGCTTTGAAATGAATAATAAACTCTTAATCAGAGGCATGAAACATTAGCGAATGTTTCTTTAATAAAAGAAGTTCAAAAAAAGTTAGTAAGGAAATGTTAGTAAAAGGCGCCTGCTAATGCTTCTAATTCTCCTACTCCTTAATTCCCACCCATATCTACAATTCTGATCTAAGGTGTCTAGTCCATACTTACAAGATAAAATGAAAGAATGGTAATAGTTTTACATAATGTTCTCAGTCCTTTAGAAATCAGAATTGGAAGGTAGTATGGGCTGGTCAAAAGTCCAAGGACCCAGATAGTAGGTATTTAAAAAAAATGAAAGGAATGTTAGTAAGTGTTAGTAAGGTCTTACTAACATTCCTTAATAACGCACCATTCCCAACCATACCTTTCATTCTGAAGTCCAAGGCTGCCCAAGTGAGACTTATAAGAAAAAAGAAAGGAGAAATGCCCTTATGCCTAATCCCTTCCATAGTTTATTTCCAATTTCTAAAGTCCAATAATCTAGGATTCTACTAGATAGAAAATATAAAAAGCGGGAATATTAGTAAATTCTCATATCATTTCTTAAGTCTACTCCTTAATTCTCCACACCAATCTCACCCTATTATAAACAAAATAAATTACCCAACTAAAAGAATTTGTTATTTTTTTTACCGAATTTAAAAAAGTATAAAAAAATTTATAAAAAATTTTTTTAAGAAAAATATAAAATGAAGTTTTTTTTAAGAAAAAAAAGTTTAAACGCGAGAAATAAATTTAAAAACGTGAAAAAAATTTAAAAGCTCAAATAAAAATTATGAAAAAAGTTTTTTTAGTGGCTAATTGTTGATATCGGTATTGTAGTGATTGGCATTGCATTATAAACTTATTTCTTAAAAAAATTCAGCTTAATGTATATTTTTCAGGGAAAAATTAGCTGAATAAAAAGAAACTTTAGATAAAGTTGAATGATAGTAGCCAAATTTCTAGTTAATTGTAGTTTATTCATTTCAAACCTAATATGAAATGTAGAATCAATTTTTTTAAGCTTAAAAGTTGACCAAAAAAGTGCTTTTCCAATTTAAGTGTTTGATGTTTCTTAAATTTAAAACAATTATATATAAAACATGCTAATATAAATTTTACATATATTATATTTATTATATTTAGAAATGTCAAAATGTCACCACTGGTAATTTTCACCAGTACAATTTTTAAACTTTATGATTAATATTAAATTAAGTAATTAACTACACATATTAGACAGTAAGACAAATCTTCTCTTCTCATAAATTTACATACAGGGGGTCAAAAAGGCTGTTTTTCAGATAATTTTTGAGAAAAATGATCTTCTATTACTTTCCATTACTTCATTTTTTTATTAGCATCTTTCTTCTTGATCATTGTAATTAACTTATCCTTTTATTTATTGCTATTGTTTCTTTTATTTGTATCACTTCATTAAAAATACAGTGATTTTTTTCTTTAAAATCGTAAATGTGTAACTTAAATTTTAATTATGAAAAATAAAAAATCAATAAAAAGTTTAACATTTAATGCTGTAGTAAAACTCGTGTAGTATACTAGTAGTAAATTATCTAGCGCGCAAAAGTATCGGACTTGACCCTTCTGGGGGTGTCATCTTGACCCGCTGCATGCACGTTGTCGATCACATATATTTTACAATACTCCATGAATAGGATCGACAACGTGCATGCGGGAGGGTCAAGTTAGCACCTCGTCGCGGGTCAAGTTAATACCTTTTGCATCTGGCGCAGATCCGGGTATATAGCAAACATGTAGTGTATAATTAACACTGTATGCACTGTATGTATAGTATATTATAATTTTTCAACATATGTAATGTATCATGGTTCAGTGTAAATAACAAGTGTAGCAATTTCATGTATTGTTTAATAAATATGGAAATATGGTAACTTACACACAATTATTGTTACTAAATTTAACTTTTTTTTTTGTAAAAAAAATAATAAAGCATTATGTAAATTATCTATATCAGGTTTTTTTACATGATTTATTTGATTTATTACATAATTTATATAGTAATAATAAAACAATTAACACGCAATCTTATTGTGCTTCACTTTTATATAATAATAACAATTAACGCGCAGTCTAATTGTGCTTCACTTTTATATAATAATAATAACAATTTAAACGAGAAGTATTATTGTAGTTTGCTTTTCTTTTCTATTTTTTTTTTCTAATATTTACAAAGCGTTTATTACTATGTCCAAAATAAATCCAATTATTCTCTCAGATATTGAGACTATATCTGATGATGAAACTATATCTGAAGATGAATATTCTGAAAAAGATGAACAGGTTTACTTTTTGTCCTTTTTTACTAATTTGATATTATTAAGGTTTAATATAATTATTTAAATAACTTTTAATTTTTATTTAGAATTTTAATGAAAATGAGGAACCAATAGCATTTTTTACAAAATATCTCTCAGTTCCAGAAGTTATACATTCAGCTCTTCCGATTGAATATCCAAAAACTTCACCACAAGGAGTGGCCACAATATTCAAAATTACTGGCTGGGCAAATCCAATAACCTGTTTTAATGATGTAAATATTTTTCATCATTAAAATTATTTTACTTTGCTACTTTATTTAATTTATTATCATATTAGATTCAGTATTCTAATAATGGAACAGGTGGATCAACTACAATACAAAATTGTCCTTATATTGGAGTGTCAGTAAAAAAGGATGTGCGAAAGTGCCAAGGGATCAAACATTGTTCTTTTGCCGATCCAAATTTTATTAATGAGCAGCATAATGAAGTTGATATGGAATCAGAAACATTTATTAAATTAAATCAACATAAATATAATAATAATAAAAAAGTTAAAACTTATAAGTAAGTTAATTAATATTTGCTTTATGTTAATTATTTTTATTTGTTAATATTAATCAGTTTATATATATTTAAATTAGTTTTTATCTTGCTGCCAAATAAACGACCTGTAAATATAAAGTAAATAATCAATTTTGCAATGGCCAAGCAAAATTAAGAAGAATAATTAAAAATAGAGGAGAAGAGTATTTTATTGGATGTGACAAATGGATTAGAGGAGAAAAATGGCATCGATACATTAAAGTCCAAGAAGAAATTGATTTGGAATTATTGCGAGATCTTTTTCAAGGACGAGATGTAAGTATTACTCTACAATTATTTATTTAATTTACATATTACTAAATACTATTAATTGTATAAATTCAGATTGATGTAGATAATAAGGAAAACCAATGCTGTACCTTGGTTCCATGAGCCTCAAGAATAAAATCATGTGGTTAGTAAATTAATTAAATTTTGATATAAAAAATTAAACATAATAAATATATAATGACTAAAATTATTTTTTATTTTTGTTAAGAATTTCCACATTCTAAAGATAATCAAGTCGTACAAGGAACTATAGTTGAACGAACATGAAATGTGCAGTTTATTAAATTCATTCCATATGATTTAGCCGCATGTCCTTATATTGCATTAGTATGCATAGGTACACATAACCACCCACCACCACCACCAGAATGCACACCAGTAGGCATTAGAGATGAATTACAAACAATGATTCAAAATATTATTACTTCAGATGATAGTGTAACTCCACGCTCAATTATAGCAAGTAAGTTTTTTTTTAAAAAAGTAATTACATAATTTAATACTAAAATACTAACAATTTTATACTATATTTTATTTAAATAGAAAATAACAGCATTAATGCAACCTTTGATAAAGATACTTTATCAGAGGTGCATGCATCATTAAATAATGTAGATAAACTTAGGACACTTGTTGCTAAATGTTACAAGAATATGCATCCCTATGGACAGGGAAATTTGGGTGTTATGCATAGTGTTCAGTGCAAGAAATTTGATATGCATAACTATGTACGTCGTATAGGTAAGCATTACTGTATATTTAATTTTTGTATTACATTTTACTGAGATTTGTTATATGAAATTATAATTTATTATTATCTTTTATTATAGAGCAATTTGAGGATGGACAAACTTTGATTTTATGTATGCTTGATTTTCAAGCAAAAGCATTACAAAATTTAAAGTGCTTTCAAATTGACTTAACATTTAAAAGAGTACAGGGGGATATTAATGAATTCGAAGTTAACTCTTATGATGAAATGCACAAATTAAGTAAATATATTAATTAAATTATAGTATATGCTTATATCATTATATTTTTATAAAAATAATTAACATTAATTTTTTTTAGTATTGTCCTATTGTCGTATTTATACTAACATATTTACAGCTAACGCGTATCAACGTTTATTTACTCAGATTTTTGAAGTAATTGAAAATTTAAGTGAAAAGCCTGTAAAATTTTATCATATTGATGGAACAGGTTGGAAATGCATACTTGGAGATCTTGATCCTGGACAAGCAAAGGGTCTGGGATTGGCTTTAGAAAAAAGAGATCCTAGTAGAAATTGGGAAGAGCATTTGACATATATTTTTAAATCATGTCTTGTCCATTTCAATCGGTAAGAACACTTTTAGAATTATTATAAAATATTTAAAATTATGAAATTTTAATATATTTTATTTTTAGTAATTTAATAGCTAAAAAATTTGATAATGAAGTACATCTATTAGCAAAATCAATTCCAACCAGATCTAGTGTTGAAGAAGTTCACGAATACTTTAAAAAATTAGAGTTATATGATAATAAACGTATAATAGGTAAATGTCTTTGTAGTTTTTTAATACTTGAAAGAACGCAATAGCTAAATTTTCCCCGGAATGGGGGCCTTTTAAATGATAAAATTCAAGTGTAATTTTTTTAAGCTCCCAATTTTCACTAATTCAATGAGCTGTAATTCCAAGGAATGGAATCTGGTTTTTTGACGTCCACGCGTCAAGAGTAAATGAAATTTGCCCAGGCACATTTTGCAATTCCTCTAGTATAAAAGTTTGCTCATCATTGAATGCTTGGTGAATATCTTTGCATATGGTAACAGCGGATGGAATAGTGGCTTCACGATTGAGTCTTTTTATCATTAATTTAAAATGATCATCCTCTACAACGGTAAAGGTTGATTATTTACAACCACCTATTTGATTAAATCATTACGCCAATTATCTTGTGTAAATTTCTGTAATTAAATACATATATGGTTATTAATTATCTAAAATTAGTAATTAACAAAAAAATAATAATAAGTTAATAATACGTACTAGTTCATCTGCTTGTTTTACGAACTTATCCATTGCTCCTACTACTACTTTCTTTTCACCAGAAATTAAATTACTATGTTTATTTCTAAGATGTTTTAGAAGTGTAGAAGTTGAGCCATCTTTCGATGCTTTATAGGTTATACTAAAAAGAATAATCGAAAATAAGCTACTTTTTTAAATTTAAATTTACAATTATAATTATAAAATCAAAAACATAAACTTTACCTGCAGTGGATACAAGAATAAGTATTATTTTGTTTATTTAAGGTAAAGTTCAAATGAGCAACAGATGTTTTTTTTTTATATCTTCCAATTATAATTTCTTGATTCTCATTGCCTAATTCATTATTTATTTGTTCAGGTTCAGTTTCAGGTAATATATCGTCACCTTCTATATCAAATCCATCTATATCGGTATTAATATCACTTAAATCAAAAGAACCGGCTGAACCACTTGTACTAGCCATGAAAATAAATTTATAAATAAATTTATTTAAATTATTATATAAAGTGAATCAAGGTTATTAGATGAATTGTTATCGTGTTTGCGAGGACGTAACTCTAAAGTTTTAGTATCGTCTGAGGTATGACCTTTGTGATGTGTGTAAAAAATTATTTAAAATCACAAAAAAAAAAATTCGTATTTTGTAATGATGTATTAAAAAAGGAGGCATGTGAATTACAAAATAAAAGGGGCTAATCGGGCTGTGCGATATTTTTATCATACGTAACAATGACATAATAAACTATAATATTTTAAGTTACTAAAAAAAAATTTTTTTATTAATTTTTTCGTTTTTATTTAAAAAAATTTCCGTTTTTTTAATAGAAACCGTAATATATATAGTTTCTATATAAAAAAAAATATTTTTTTATTAATTTTTTCGTTTTTATTTAAAACATTAATTAAAAATCGCCGTTTTTTTTAATAAAAACTGTAATATGTATAGTTTCTATATAAAAAAAAATATTATTTTCGTTTTTATTTAAAAAATTTCCGTTTTTTTAATAGAAACCGTAATATATATAGTTTCTATATAAAAAAAATATTTTTTTTATGAATTTTTTCGGTTTTATTTAAAACATTAAGTCATTAATTAAAATCGCCATTTTTTTTAAATAAAAACCATAATATATATAGTTTCTATATAAAAAAATATTTGTTATGACTTTAAAAAATGAATTTTTTCGTTTCATTACAAAAAAAGCAAAAAAAGTAATATTTTTTAAACCCATTATAACACGTAAAAGAAATAAAATTTGTATATTTATTATGTATTCGTAAAATAAGCCTTCGGATCAGTTCGGATCAACTCGTTTAATTTGGTCCGGATTAGAGTTTAATCCGAAATTCGGACCTGACCGGACCATACATTTCGAGCCGGGTTAAAATTTTAATCCGAATCAGCCCAACCCGAATTTTCGGTCTGGATTATCGGATTAGGACCAAACCGATTAGAGCTTTAATTTGGAATTTGTACAGAACAACATACACATGCATCTCAAGAATGTGCCAAATTATTTACCTTCCTTAATCGTTTTAAAAATCAGCTATCAACAGATTTACACGAAGATCTTGATGAATATCAAAACCATTTGTTATATTATCTTGCACATCAAGTCCATAAAGTTTATTTGAATGCCCAATTTAATGCTAATCTACTGGATTTGGATGAGAATGGCGCTGTATTAGTAGTTGATTACAAAATGAAAATACTTCCAAAAAGTGCCAGAGAAACAAAAGCAGAATTTTTTGGAAAGAAAGGTTGGACTTTACATACAATTCTTATGTATACAAAAAAGTCAGGACATCAAGAACTTGATATTCATGCTTACGATCATTGGTCAATGGATACGCATAAGGACTCTTGGTTTACAGCTTCATCCCTCCATGCTGTCATTGAATCACTGGAAAATAAGCCAAAGTGGATCACAATTATTTCAGATAATGGTCCTCATTATCATAATGCTGACCTAATGATGATTATGGGAAATTGGTTAAAATGGTATCAAATAAATGTAAAGAAATGGATATTCTTAGAGGCAGGTAAAGCAAAAACGACCATTGACAGTCATCATGCACAGGTACTAATAAAATAAAATAAAATAAGTGATCTGCCATTTACCTATATAATAAGTGTCAACATTTTAGATTACCCATGCAATCAAACGTCAAGTACGTCTTGGATTAGATATAATGGAAGGTGCTGATATTGAAACAGCAATTAGAGATATTAACAGAACATCTGTTGCACATTTAGAACCAAATCGAACAAAAGGTGAGATTAAATCAAACAAAATAATCAAAGAATATTTTATCTTTCTGACTTACTTTAGACCAAAATAAGAGAGCCAAGAATACTCTTCCTGGTAATTCTAATTTATTTGAATGGACTTGGCCGGGAGAAGGATCAATGGCGGGTTATATTCTTGGTCGAGAGATTCCTAATGTTGGAGAATGGACAAATTTTTCACCGGCACAGATATCTAATTTGCAGAAAAAAAAAATTGAAATTCCAGAACCTATGTCATCAACTCATACGACTCCCAAAAATGAATGGGTAATTGCTATGCCAAATATTTCAGGTGCGTTACCTCTTCAGCTTTTGTGAATATTATCTATCCCACATTTTGTCTCTGATTTAGGTATTGATCCTAAAAGATTGACAAGAGAACGATTATTATTTGAATTGAAAAAATGAAATATCAATGTTATCAACACCGCTAAAAGAGACGGGTTGGTTAAGGAATTAGAACTTGGCTTGGCTAATGAAACAGAAATGATACAAGATGGTAAGAAAAGAATTTATAAAAAAAAAAAATATTGAAACAAAATGCTAATTACTATTTGTTTGGGAAAAGATATTTCCGAAAATCAAGAAAATCAAAATATTATATGGTAAGTATACTTATTCTGAACACGTATTAGTTATTTGCTAATTAGAGACTTACCATTCAATAGGAATTCTACTTATGAGTTTCCCTTGGAGTCTGGATAGGCGTTAAAAAGCAAAAATATGGTAAAAAAGGAGGTGGAAAACGTATATCTAAAAGAGTATGGAAACTTTTAGAAGAATATTTTTTGGAAGGGGATGTTGATAAAAGTAAAAGATTTACCGCTACTAATATGCTAGAAAATCTCAGAAATAAAGTTGAAGAAAGAGAGTTGGATGAAGAAGAAATACCAAAACTACAAACTATTCAAGGCTGGATATCTCGTTATTCAGCACAACATCGCCAAAAAATGGCAAAAATGTCTTTGGTACGTTAGAAGGGACCGAGTTCATAATAAAAATAAATAAATTTATAAAGAAATAATAAAATAACATAAAATAATAATATAAAAAACTGTTTGGTAAAAGAATATATAAAAATATTATAAAAATTGTAAAATCTAAAATTTGCCATTATTGAAATCACAAGTTCAAGTTGGTCGATTGGGTCGTCCATCATGGACTACACAGCGAAACCTGAAAAAAATGTTACGAAATGGCCGGCATTACGCAAAAATTAAGTGTAGCGCACATGTGATGGATAGTGCGTAACGAGTAGGATTTGTTACTGAAAAAATTTCTCAGTCCCCCAGATACTTATGAAAAATGGAAACAAGGAAGGGCGTGACGCCAGTGATGAAAAATCTCACGTGATTTTCGTGACATTTTTTTCAGGTTTCGCTGGGAAAATCCATAATGTGTCTGCGCCATGTGCTACGGATTTTTAAATAGGATTTATATAGGATTTGCAGTGGTATCAATAATATAAAAATTTATATATTTAAATTTGGCTTTTCACATGAGAAATCACCATTGTTTTTTAGATTTTCTCACATGACAAAAAAAATAAAATATTTTTTCTTTATAAAAAAATACATCTCTTCATTTAAAAAATTTTACACTTTAATTTTAATTTTTAATGCCTCGTAATTAATCCATGATAATTATATAATTACGAATACAATTAGTTAAGGCCATCCCCTTCTCCTTTCACATTATTCATCTAGAAGTAGCTTATTTATTTGCTACCAAAAGAAATTAAAAGATAGTAACTTGTAAATACTGTTATAAGTAAAGCTTCGAACGGTTCCGGTTTAATCGAATACCAAGCGGATCCGAACCAAAAATTCAGCTTCTGATCTAAAAAATTAATCCGAAATTTTCGGTTCGGCTATCAGTTCGATTCGGTTTTCCGATCCTGAACCGAAAATTAACATTACCTTTGTATTTTCAAAGAACAATAATGTCCAAACTTAAAATTCTAAAATATTTAGAAAAAATGAAGAAAAGAAATAAAAATTACATAGAAGGTGATATTGTTTGTTAATGGATCATAATTATAGCAGCATTATATTAAAGAATTTTAATTCTAAAAATGATGATGATACTTATTATTAACAAATTATTTTATTCAACGGTTGTATTTTGATGAAGACAATTATCAATTCGTGCCCATTTTTATACGAAAAGAAGAAAGTAATTATAATCTCAAGAGAAAAATTTTTTTACCATTTTAAAGTTAACGAGTTTTAATTTTTTTTTTTTTAAAAAAAAGATAAGTTTTAACCAAGAAATTTAAAGTGTAAGAACTTTATTATAAATCCAGAATTTTTGGTATTTAATTTATTATGTAATTTTCATCAGACTCAACTGTACAAATGTCTATTAACTGGTGAGTCTTTTGCTGGAATATGAATATTAGGATCATAGAATTCAGAATTATGAAAATATTATATATGCGTTTATTTTTTAAAAAAATATACAAATAAAAACTGATAATGTAAATGTAGAATTCACAAAACTCTAGAGTACAAGTGACTTTAGACGGATTACTCCGAATATGAGCCACAAATCAAGACCATAATCGTCATCCTTTGGCCCACACTTATTTTTTATTGATAATCACGTGACTTTACCGCTGTGAGTTCGTCAAATTTTATTAGTCTTTTGATTAAATTTGCAATAAATAAATAAATAAAAATAAATAAATAAACTTATATAAGCGATAAGTTCATATATTCTAATTGATTTTTTAATGCGGTTTCTTTTTTTTTTAAAAAAAAAAAAAAAAATTGTTTTTATATAAATGTGTGGCATGTTTCGATCGTTTCACTCATTTCAGTCATCAAAAGTGATTTTAAAATATTTGTTAATCAGTATATGAACGATAGATTAATTGAAACCTCGTTTCTACTTAATAATCTAAAAATAAACACTTTATTATATATAAAGAAAATTTGCGTAGCATTTGCTGTTTTTGACGTTATTAAACAATAAATTTCTCTACATTTTTTTTTAATTATTTTTTTTTTTAAAAGAATATAGTAGCGGATACTCAAGAGTATATAGATGCAGAAAATTTAAGATTCCTAGCTGATATTTTTATGAGACAAAAAATAATTGCGTAAATTTATGAAGTAATAGATATTGCCAAAATTTAGCTAGTTCGTAATAATGTTTAAATATTCCGTTCAGAGTTTCAAGATTTGTAATATCAGATATTGATATCCAATATTTGTATAATAAAAATCTAATCTCATATAAAATTTCAAATGAATTTGTTAAAAATTGATAGACTTTTACAAATTTCTAGACGGATTCGTAAAAATTTTGAATTTTACGAGAATAATTCTAAATATTTGATAAAAAAAGATCTATTAATAATTTCTATAAAATTTTTGTTAATCAGGTAAAGATCTGACAGACTTACTTGTATGCGGAAGATTAAGGGAAATAAAAAAATTCTGGGTGGAGCCAGATTACGTTTAATTTTTGTTTGTATTTTAAATTTCTATTTGTTTGCCCGATAGGGTGAGTTTTTTATTTTATATAGTTCTATATTTTCATTTAATCTGGTTTGTTGGGGGTGATTTAATTTATTATTTCATTCTAGATATTTAGTTTAGTATTATTGTTTAGATAGTTTTTTACTATAACTGTTATCAAACTAAAGACATAATTGTAATTTCTTTGATCAATTTAATTAATAAAAGTTCGCCAGAAAAAAAAGGGGGGAATACAAGTCGCATGTGACCTCATAGCTGCGGCACCGCATCTTTACATGCATGCATTCAATGAGCAATATGATTGGCAGAATTTATTGAGCTACGCTCAAAAAATCATATTCTTTGTTGCAAATATAACAGTCATTCGGTGTAACCATTAAGAATTTTATTATCAAAGGATTTTTTAGTAAAAATTTTATCCGAATTTTGATTACAAATGTTACAAATTGATAAGCTTATCTTTAAAAGAACTCCGATATTTTCTATCGATCATATGCAGATCGGCAATTAATAATATGATATCTTTAATAATTCTTTATTTAATACAATTTCCATTTATAAATTCATTTTAATTTTTAAAAACTCATAAATTAAAAAAAAATTGATTAAATATTGCATCATCATCATTATTTATTATTATTATGTACTACTTTTTGGAATTTTCACTCCGAAACGTGGTTTCTGCGGTACCTGCGGTTTCTGTGATCTTCAATTTTAAATTCCAATTATGTGCTTCATATGGGTTATACGAGGTCATTAATTATTTTATGATGGGCGTTAAAGTTGTTACACTTAACAAATATAAATATAATTTCATTCAAAAATTAACAAATATATCCAACAGTAAATTAAGACAATATTAAGTATACGAAAAATAATCAACAGTAAGTATTAACAAATATATTCAACACAAGTAGTATTAACCAAAATAATCAACAGAAGAAAATTAACAAAAAGAATCAACAGACAACCTTCCTCTTTAAGTAATATTTGATCACTAGACCGAAATAATCAACAGAAATTATTAATAAAAATGGCGAACAGATGTTTTACTACGGATTAAAAATTTTTTAATAAATAATGTTTTCTCAACGGACTTTTTTTTTTTTTTTACTTTCACTTAATCACCAAAAATAACAAAAATGCAAACCAGTTTCTCTGTTAACGAGGGGACTAATAATTGTTTCAATACCCTTTCATCTACTGAAAAACCTTACGACCCTGATACTCCTACCTTTACACTTAAAAATGCTAAACAGCCCGAGGAAATTTGGAATAACACGGATTATCTATCTCCTATGGATAGAACTGAACGAAATAAACTGTTAGAAAATAAAAAATCTGATTCTAAAATCCCACGTCCCCTCAATTCCTATTTTATATATAATAACTATGCACGTAGGAAACAAAAATACAAGAATATGGTGGCCGAAAAAAGGCCGAAATCAGAAATAAATGAATTAATCGGAGAAGATTGGAAAAAAGAGCCAGAGGAAGTCAAAGATATTTTTAAATGTGGTGCAGAAGTGGCAAAGAAAGAGCATGCAAAAAAACACAAGGATTATAAATATAAAAAGAGAAATCAAAAAAAAGGAAATAAAAAAAAATACGTTGAAAAAAATAGGTCGACGGCTTCTTTTTCAATGCTCACCACATCTCTTCCTTCGTCAAAACAACGCAACAATAACAACAATTCACAAATATTATTTCCTACTATGGAAGAATCTGATGCTAGCATTCCTGATATGGAAGAATCATACCAATCTGATGCTAGCATTCCATTTGATCCTGATATTCCTGAACAATTATCCAACTCCGTTAACGATTCACAAGAATTAGCAGATTTGCTTCAATTCGAGAATATTGAATCAAACTCCCCTATTATAGAAGAATTGCAATTCGATGAAACCATTATAATTAGCCCTGATAGTCCTCAATCTTCCGATTCATTTTTTTCGCCAACAACTTTCCCACCAATTTCTACTGAATCTCACTTTACTACGCCTGTTGATACCTTTTCGCAATATCATCCTTATACTAGCTTGGAATTTATGGGAAATCAGCCATCGAATTATCTTTCTACTCAAGCTATATCCAACATACTTTGCTTTGGTCCACCGGGGTACCCTACTTGTGGTCAAGATGCATCTATTCTCTCCAATATGGGGTATTATCTCAACATTCAACCGGAATCCTCCACTTATGGTTTTTCAGTATATCCCAATTCGTCTGTTTCCCCAACCCCAACTACCACAGTATTAAATAATCCTTATATCCGGCCCGAGTTTAATGAACTTTATGGGTCAATCGGATTCAATAATTCGCCAGGATTGGTAATAGACAATCCACAACGGAATCAAGTAATGAAATTAACTTGCAATCAAATAGCAGAATTAATTTGTAATCAAATAGCAAAATTAACTTGTAATCAAATAACAGAATTAACTTGTAATCAAATAGCAAAATTAACTTGTAACCAAATAACAGAATTAACTTGTAATCAAATAGTAGAATTAACTTGTAATCAAATAGCAGAATTAACTTGTAATCAAATAGCAGAATTAACTTGTAATCAAATAGCAGAATTAACTTGTAGTCAAATAGCGAAATTGACTATAATAATAAATTTTTTATCTTGAAATATGATTTAAAGTATATATTTTATTTATAAATAAATTATATTTTTTTTACTAATTATTATCGCTACGATAATGCGTATGTTAACTAATAAGTTTTATTTATATAGATTCTGAGTAACACTATTCACTATTTATTCCATTCGATTTAAATCACTTGACGTTGATGCGTGATATTTTAAGTTCGATCAAGGCGATCAAAAATGAGTTTAATTTAATAATTAAGAAATATTTTTCACGCTCAAACATAAATAAAGTAAAAAATTTCGGTACCTTTCGAACACCCAAATAATTCCATTAATTCTGAACATATTGAGATTTTTTGAAATTTGGCTTATTTCCGATATGTACAATAAAAAGTGAAAATTCTTAGTTAACCATTTGATCTTTTGTAATATTCGGCATTTCTGTTCGCATAAACATCTTTGAAAATTCAATCCCCTTATAAGTTTCATCATATTTTGTTTTCCCTTCATTAAAATCATGTTACATCGCTCAAATACAGATATTGGAAGATGCTGGTCGTCGGTAAATTGACAATCATGTATAATTGAAAAATTGACATTTTTAATACTTTGCCAACCTATATTTTTATGAAGCGTAAAGCGTTAAAAAGTATGCCTCACGCTTTTAACGATTCACAAAAAAGTCTTTGTTCACATCATTACCTTTTAGTATCAATATTTTTTATGCAGTATACAGCCATTCATATTCATTTAAAGTTTCGCTTAACGCTCCGATCACCGAATTAATAGATTTTTGTTCCACCTAAATTATATAAATTTTTTAATCGTAGAAAAATTTCCTAATAATAATAATTTATAAAATATAATACGTACAGTAGGAATTACGCGAGCAGCTAATATGAAAACAACATTCAATAGTTTGTCGAATATAAAATCAATAATTTTTCATAATTTTTCCCCCGTCCCGGACGGAAATAATCTAAAAACAAAATGGAGAAATTTTTATTATAGCTGATGGATAAATTATGTTCGTAAAAATATTTAAATGGCTGTTTTACCTGATGGTTTCTTTTTAATAATTCGTTCTTAAAGTCACCGCAGACAATTTTTAAAAAAACGAAGTTTGATAATTAGTTGAACGCAATTAACTTGTGCTAAAAATTGTTGCCTCTTTACATCAAGTTGAACGTGAACGTGCCTTTAACATCTACCGATCGAATCCAGATATGATTTCTTACCGATTTCAGCTTTTATATTTCTTTGATAATTATATTGCTGATGCATAAAATATACAAATACAACTCCTTGAAATTCCTGTAAACTCATATTATTAGTTAATTAAAAAAATATATATACATATGGAGTACGTGATAATTAAAAAATACTCATTTACATTATTTCATCAATTTGGCTAAGAACCGCACGAATATTTTAACATTTGGAAATTAGCTATCGTAAAAAAATCGACACATTAAATGTTAATTAAAGTATATTCATAAGTCATAAATGTATAACTACAAATAAACAAACAATCACCTTCATAGGTTCTCTCATACATTAAAAATGTTCAACCAATTCCTATTCATATCATTTTGTAAATAATTGATTTCATAAATCAATAGAAAGTCATTTCTCGTCTACCGGTAGTAATGTCATCAAATGAACATTTATTAATAGTCGCGTTCAAAAAAAAAAAAAAAAAAAAAAATTGAAGTAATAGATTATGATATGGATACTGACTAACCTGCACCTAACGGTCCTAACGCCTCAAACTTCCCCATTAGATACCTCTATATATGCTCCTTCTGGCTCTACCAACACTGCCGCTTCTACTGGTATAGCCACTGAACGCACTGCCTCTCCCGACGCCTTTATTGCCGCTATGTCCTTATAATCTTACAATGGATTTCACAATGAGCAAGATTTAAATATCAAAATCTCCTACTTGTTAACATTATTGGAGAAATAATTAATGAAGTGATGCGAATCTAAATTTTACTTAGTAAATTTACGAAGCCATTGTTTTTGAAAAAATAAATAAGGTAAACAAAATTACCAATTCACGGCTCCTTTTAAACTTGTAAAAAACCCCTATTTAGCTACTTAAAATAGTTAGTCTAATGATGTGAATAGTGATCGTCAAGTAGGGTGTCCAGGATAGAACGATCACACCTTTTTCACACTTTTTGTTATTTTGTTATTTTTTCACATTTTTGGTGTGGCCGCATTTTTTGGCAAAGTTTTACATTTTTCACACTATCCGCAATAAATTGAGTTTTATTGGTCGATTTATGATCACATGATTGGTTTTTATTTATCAAATTTTAAGTTAAAATTATTATGTTAATTCCAGCCGAAATTACGCTAAATCTGGCCAGAATTAAAAATCGCACCAAACCACACTTTTTGTTTAAATCACACCACACTTTTCGGGCCATCACACCATGAAATCCTGGACACTCTATCGTCAAGTAATCATAAATCATAATTTTTTTTGTTAAAATAATAAAATGATTTTATTGATGCATCATTTTTCGTAAAATAGAAGTATGAGTACAATATTACTAAATTCCATTTCATAAAAATTTTTTCCCGGGAAGTTCTCTGCACAATGATTGCTGATCGTTATTAAATTAATAGAGCGAGATCGATTAAAGAGAAAAATTATTATCAAAGAAGATAATAATAACCCTGTAAAAAATCTGATCCGTGTTTTATCTTTCCATGTTTTTTCCGTGAATGTATCATTTTAATGGAATTTATAGCCTTAAATCATGGAAATTTTCATCTCGCTAATACGGATATCCGTGAATGTATCATTTTCACGGAATTTTTACGGAAGACACGGAGAAATAATGGAAATATTCGGATAAAAATTTTTTATAGGGTAAAGGAGTTACTAATAGAATAGGAATGATATGAATTTTTTTTTTTTGATTTAAAATATTTAATCGCATACGTCATGATAAACGATCTACGTTTTTTTTGCAATTATATAAATAAAGGTAGGGCAAAATTTATTTTATAAAAATATAAACAAATTTTTTAAAACTGCAACATGTACGTTCGAAATTGTTAATCGGATGATCTTATAATGAACGAATAAATTTATCGAACTAAACTCTTATTAAACCTATCCATACTGTACTACACCAGATACTATTTTGAACTAGTGATTCAACGCTGCGGCAACAAGAAATTCCTAAAAGGACTTAGCTAAGTCAGAGACAACTGATTTTATCAAATATTTTTTTAAAAAATTTATATTAAATAAAGCTATTCGTTCGCTATATGCTGAAACTTTATTCGAACTTTGTATGATTATAATATATATTGAACTTTAGGCCCCAGATTGTGATCTAAAACATAAATATTACATATTACAGCAAGGGTTTTTAAATTAAATGTCGGAAATGGATTTTTAATTAATTTTTTACGATCATAACGTTTCGTTGAAGAAGTGGTCGCATTTAAAAACTTTTTATTGAAAATTTTTAAGTCGACATTAATGAAACCGCGGATATTTGTATCGTAGTGTCGGTTCATTGTGCGATTACTGTAAATCGTGTAATGTAATGTAATTGTTACAATTTATTAAAAAATCAAATGAATTAAATAGTATTTCTAATACATATTATTTGTATTGATCTTGTAATTTTTTTCCTTCTCTTCTTTTTTTAAAAAAAGATAATTCTGCAAAGTTAAAATTCCTAATATTCTAAATATTGTAAAGGATATTACAGTCTTATTAATTAATAATAAACAAATTAATTGTTATAAAAATCAACGAAAAAACCGTCTATAAAAAATAAATTATATATAATGTACCTTCTAACTAAATACAATATAGTAATTAAGTATTCCACTCAAAATCTTCTCCATGCAAATGATTGTAATTTTTAATTATTCCTTCTGCTTTATATTCTTCCATTAAACTAGAATATTCTTTTATATAACTTATTTGTATTAGCATTGGATGTCTATCCTTCCAATTATCAAAAAATAATTTTAAAGATTTTTTTAATCTAAATGCTAAAAAATCGAATTTAAATTTAAATAAATTAATTGATGATAAGTTAGCCAGCATTTCGAATAAATTATCAAAATTAAATGAATTTATATAATTAGTAAGGTATAATCCATCTAAGTATTGACAGTTAATTAATAAGTTTTCTAATTCTAAAATATCTCTGATATCTCCAAGCCCTGTTTTAAGATATTTAAGATTTGGACAATTTTGATAAATAACCTGAATAATATGTTTATCTTCAATGTATTTATTTCCCGTACAATAAGTAAAACTTATTTCAGTAAGTTGTCCACTTGTACTTTCAATTAAACTTATTAAAATAATGTATGAAACACGTCTAGCATATAAAATTTTTAAATAAGGTAAAGATATATTCTTTAATTGATCCAATGGTTCAATTATAATTTCATGCAAATCTAGTACTCTTAAATTAACAAATAATAAAAGAAACTTAGTGATAGATTGATTATCTATCTTAAAATATTGTATAGTATTTGCATGTTTAATTAAAGAATTTTCAAGAGTTCTATCCTCGCCATACGAAGAATATTTTAAACTAACGTTAAATAATTTTCTTTGTGCTTCAATTAATTTAATAATCTCATTATTCTTATTATTATCAACTATAAAAAGTTCCATTTCTTTAATTGATTTACATATTTCTGTTAGTCTGGCTATATTATCATCATTGTTCGAATGACATTTAAGGAATATAATTTCTGACAGACAACTTTTGGCTCCGTGAATAAGATGTATTTGAATATCAAAATTAAGAGGTATATAAAGATGTGTATATTTCATATTTTCATTAATAAAAAGTTTAAATATTTCATTGTTAATAATTGAAATTTTAGATTCTTCGTAGGAATTAATTATCTTCTTAATTCCACATAAACGTAAATGTTTACAAAAACTAATATAGTTGAATAAAGGCTTTTTATAGGAATTTGTTAATAAATTAACGCCTAAATTCTTTAAGTTATTCTTTGATTCATCTGATAAATGTGAAATTATAACATTTAATAAAAATTTCTCTTTTCCTTCCTTTATCGATTTCCAAGGATTTTTCCATAAAATTGGAACAACTGTTTCACAAATTGCTTTATTAACGGATAGACATAAACAAAGTGTCTTTTCATCATCTCGTAATTCTTCAAATATCAAACGAAGAACATCTCTGTCCAATTTGAACATTTTTTTTATTATTTTTTTTTTTTTAAAAAAAGTGCGCAAATAATTGAATGAAAAATAACATTTTATTTATATTGTCGATTTGTCATACTTTGTTGTACAATAAAGTTTGTTTATCAGGCGTACCACTTACCGTATTAATCGTATCGTACATGCTGCTTTAGCTGCTTGAAACACATGAAGAACGTGAGCAATGAAAATCAAATACAATATTAACCATATAATTTTTCATGAAAACTAAACTGCCAAGTTTTTTTTGTAACATAAAATTTTATTATGCAATTATTATTGATTTTGAGATCCCCTGTCACCATCTATTTTAGGAAATTTAATATATATTATGAATTACTATACTAAAATGAAGGTCCCCCTTACGCTTGTGTAGCATGATAATTTGATTAACTCTATTAATATTGTAATAAATCTGATATTACATATCATTATCACGTCTTAGACGTTATACATCTGAAAATAAAGCCTATTCTAAAAAAGTCCAAAAAAACAAAAACGTAATTTAATAAAACAAAAATAATTAAAATAATTAAATTTAATAAAGAAAAAATTCCTAGAATAATTAGATTCTATGTAAATCGTTTTATTGTTGTAATTCCACAAATTTGATAAATCCAAAGTATCCCACATTTTACTAATTTGCTTATTTTGCGCTTGACTACGACTAATCCACTTTTGCATAGTATAGTATGACGCTTTGTTAAGTCATTTACAATCTTAGAAATTTAAGCGGCCGGAATTAAGAATAAAAAAATTATGGCACTATTGATAATTTTGACCAGATTTACAAGAACACATGACATGATTGATTATGCATTCATGACCCAATCATTTGATTCATTTGATAGAAATATCTTCGTCAGGTGGCTTTTTACAGTATCTCATATGTTTTACTTTTACGAAATTATGTTTGATTTCCTATAGTTCTTACTAATAATGTGTTTCTCTTGAAATAAAATAAAATAAAATAAAATTTGATTTAATGTTCTATTAAAGTAAGTTACAAATTTCAGTCGGTGTTGCGATCCGCGGATAACCCGTCATCCGTCATCCGTCATTTTCGGATATCCGATGAAGGATAACCTCAGTTGAATTTTAAATCGGGCCAAATTCATAGAATTATGTTGTGTAACATTTGTGTAACACAAAATTTGGCAAAAAATTTTTTTTAGCATTCCGGCCAGCATTACAGATTTGACCAGAATTATGTAATAAAAATCGGATGATCCGTTTAATCCGGTTGGGATCCGTCAATCCGTCACGGATATCCGTTGTAAGAACTACATTAGTCTTAACAAAATAATACTTTATTAGTAATATAAATAAATACAATAATATGCTTGGTTTAATATAACTAAATATATCTAAAAATAATTTCCAAAATTCGTATCCTACTAATTATGCTGTAGATCACTCATATTTATAGTTTTCAGATCCTTTCTTTATTTCTTTAAGAAGCAAAATTAAATTTCAAATTCACTTGATTTTGAGTTAGCCTTTTTCCCCTAGCGAACACTATTTCGAAAATCTTATTTTCAAACAAAATATTTTTCAAAATTATTATTTAAAACTTTTTATGAAACCTTTCTTTTCTGAACCTAAAATAATCTTTCTAAACACGTTCTCTAGTTTAACGTCATCAGGACGTTTTTTTTTTTTTTTTTTTANCCAGAATTACGTATTATCCTACATACCACTAATTTTTTTTTTTTTTTTTTTTTTTAAACTGTAACGCATCTTTATTCAGTATAGAGTCATACAAAACTGCGAACTAAAATAAATGATACCTAGCCATCCGTGCAAATCACGTGATAACCCTATAACTAAACAAAAACTTCGTTACAAAATTATATAAAATAAATACTTACTACCTTTCCATCTTATATACCATGTAACTATAAACTAAAAAGAGATCTAACCAAATCTTCCTAAACTTACATAGGGAAAAATGAGTGAAATTTGTGATAAAGACTGAAGCCTAATGCTATATAAAATAGATGAGTCCCAACGGTTCCACGCCCAGTAAACAGTTATTCAAACTTTCCCCCATTCCCTACAAAAATAAAGTTAGTATTCTACACTAGAAATTACAAAAAACAAAAGAAGAAAATTACATTGTTTTGAAATTTGCTATCGGAATATTTTATAACGTGAAATCACGTGACTTCGATTAACAAGTGTAACTTTCGTGCCCTTCTTAATCTTCGCGTTGCTTCTTCTTCCTATTCATCTCATCATCTACTTTCTTCCTTGAGATCTCAATCGTTGATGGTGAAACTGGTTTCGGTCTTTTTTCTCCAGTCTCTTTTTCATCTGTCCATCAGTGTTCCTCCTTGAGTTTATTTGTGAAATCATCGTTAAGTCTCGTATATTCTTGCAGAATCCTACTTTGCGTTACTGATGATTTTATTATCCAAAAGAAGGAACGTCATCAGGACGTTACATTCATAACATCATACAATTTTAAATTACTAAAAATTTATATACTAATTCTAAATATAATACTGCGCCTCATAATTAATAAATTTACTAGGTAAATCACGGCATTACGCCTTGACCCGTCTTATCCGTATGTACGGATATCCGAAAAATACTGTTTTTAATTTTGGTCATTGACGGATATGTTGAATGTTAATATTTTTTTTCTAAAAAGAAAAAAAAAAAGAAATTAAACAAAATGGAACAATAAAATGTAATTAAAATTTAGAATATAATTTTGGACACTAGCAGAGAAATTTACCATCGTTCATCAACTGTTAGATACAATTAAATTGTCTCATGAACATTTTAAAAAATGACGATAAGATATTGTATAAATAATTCAAGACAAACTTTTTTTTTTTTGAACAAAACTTTATTAATAAGGTGTTCGCGCTTCACAATACAACCTTGTACACGTCAAGCACCGGACTCGATATGCGTTATAAAGTATCTATCTAAATACATTACAAATCAAAAAGAACGAAACCAATACAAAAAGTCTAGCTACATGAAATGTAAATTGATAAATAAAGAAAAACTTTTTTACAGTTACGTAATACAATAGTAGTCACGTTTAACTTAAATGTATACGGCAAATATTCAGTTGTCGATAAACTTGTTAATTTCCGCTTATTCATGTACTATATTATGCTAAATTCATTTTCCTACTATTTCAGAAATAACGTTAGAAAAAGAAATACAGATTTAAATTATTCTGCTGTGTCTGTTTAAAAATATAAAAAACAGCGTGACCCTTATCATTAGAATTAATTAAATAAATTAGATTTTTGACTTAAATGTATGTACCTGTCAGTATTCAGAATATTTATTTAGTATTTGATTCGATAATGATCTTTCCATATTAGAAAGCAAGCAATTTATTAATATGTCCAATATTTCAATATCTTTTGGCGATTGTTATTCGTGCCCTACTTTGTTTTTCGTATTTTGAATAAAATTATACAGATACAAACTACTAATATGAATTCATTTAAATTCATTAAAAATAGTCTAATCATTATCCTATTTTTTAATTATCTTTTCGGACTTAAAATTTAAAGAAAATGACTTAAATTTATTTTTTGCAAAATTTAAGCCTTTATAAATATATACGGTATTAATATTCATTAAACTACTATGTAATTTAGATATTAAAAATATAAAAATCTAAAATTCGAGCCTTTTGACTTCTGAGGGTCATTCCGTTAGAAGGTTTACATTTGAATATTTATTTGATAATCGTTACGATTCAAGTTTAATTTTTAAATTAAGATTTAATACTAAAGTTGAGTTAAGCATGTTTAAATTAAATATATCGAACTTTACAATATAGATAAATAAGACAAAAAACAAATTATCGATTCAAAAATTAATATTAAATGAAATTGGTTAAAATCCTATTATCATATTTCACTTTTTTCGTTAATTTAAAAGATTATCCAAGTTTTCTTTAACTTCAGGATGTCCATTTTCTATAACCTTCTTATACCAATAAATTGCACTATCAATATCTTTTTGTATACCTTCACCTTTTTCATATAAAGATGCAAGACGTTTTTGAGCTTCAACATTCCCCCCTTGTGCTGCCATTTTATATAAATTAATGGCCTCTTCTTTATTATTATCAATTTCAATTCCATGTTCATAAATATATCCAAGTTTATATTGGGCATCTATAAATCCTAAACTAGCTGATTTGTTATAAAATTCAAATGCTCTAACTTCATTTTTACAAACACCCTTCCCTAATTCATAAATTTCACCCAATTTATATAATGCAACTTTATTGTCATTTTCTGCTGATTTATGGTACCAATAACAAACTTTACCTAAATCATCAATTTTTTTATCATCAATACCAATAATTTCATTACTAACTGCTTCATTATATAACTCAAAACCTTTTGATTTATTAGCCTCTGTCCCAATACCATTTATATAGCAATACCCGAGGTAAAATTTTACATCACTATCTTCTTTTTCAGCAGACTTATTATAATATTCAAATGCTTTAATTTCATCTTTTTCAACACCTATTCCTAATTCATAAGATTCACCTAAATTATATAATGCACTAGCATTTCCATTTGCTGCTGCCATTTGATACCAATAAATAGCTTTTTTTCGGTCCTTTTTTACCCCTTGCCCACAATCATATAAATAACCAAGGCTATTTTGCGCATCACTATCTCCTTTTTCAGCTGATTTTTCATAATATTCAAAAGCTTTTACATGATTAATTTCGGTTCCAATTCCTTTATAATAGCAATATCCAAGTTGGAATTGAGCATCTAAATATCCTGATTCAGCTGACTTTTTATAATATTCAAAAGCATTAACTTCATCTTTTTTTACTCCTTTTCCTAATTCATAACATTGACCCAAGTTATATTGTGCTCCTTTATCTCCTTTTTCAGCTGCTCTATTATACCAATAAATAGCTTTTTCTAAGTTTTTTTCTGTTCCATCACCGTATTCATATAATATTCCAAGAATATTTTGTGCAATAC